TTATAACCTCATGCCATGCCAGAAATGAGCTAAAACTTTAATTCTCACCAAATACAGGTCTAATGCTTTGAAGTAACCTGGGAAGAAAAGAGGAACAAAACACGTGGGTCTTTCATGCGATCACACCTGTTCTTCCACCAGACAGGAACGTGTCACGCTGCAGATTCTTGTCATGAGGCTTCTCGCAGGGTAATTAATAAGGTTCTTGTGCGCCAGCAGTCAGTCTGCATTTTTAAAGCTGGATCAGGTAGCGCTGGAACCTCTGAGGCATATTACGTAGTTCAGAGAGCCCAGAGATTATCCAAATCTCACATGAAACAATCTCAGCTGTTACTTAAATCAGTCTCATTATTTAATTCAGATGTGTTACAGGCGCATGTGGATCCAGACCCTATTTAAGGGGGGGGGGCTTCAATTTTCCTGATTTTTGTTTTAGCACCCTTGAAAATTGTTTGAAATTCAATGCTATTTTGCCATTTATATTTTCGTAAACACCTCATAATCCTTCTTAGCAAATTTAATCATGGGGGGTGGGCAACAGCAACAAGGCAGTCCTCCTATTTCTTCAAATTGCCCCGGTTACAGGTTGCATATAACAATTACACAGAATGACTCCAGAAAAGCTTTGGGAAAGGAGTTTTACCTAGTGTGGCGTTCACATACCACAGCCCTGTTCTTCATGACTTTTTTTTTTTTTTACCAGCGACCATTTAATGCTACATTTAACATAATCCTCCGAATTTATAGGAACATTTCAGGGATTATTTGAGTTGCGGTATCCAAAGGTCCGTAGCGATCAGCTCAGGCACGTCTTTGAAGTTAAACTTAAGCTTCAGGCGATGCGGGCAGCTTTGATGAGAAACGTTTCCCTGAGACTAAACCGAAATAGGCATAGCAGCCTGGATTCAGACTCCCTTGTGCTTCCATCTGGGGCAAATTAGATGCTTCAAAATATGCATAAACAAAACCGGGTGCATTTAGGAGTTAGTCATTTCAGGTTGCACCATAAGTGCGCTGGGACGGGGTTCAGGCAACTATAACCAGGTATTAATCCATGCAGGGTATGTTATAATTAGTGTGACACCTTTGGTTTAATCCTTTGTGTGTGGACTACAGGGGGTCCCCGTGAGTTTGTGAAGAATAGCAGGGGGACCCAATGACTCTCAACTGCCCTGAGAGTCTGAGAGCTTCACCAGGGACCAGAGTCACAACCAGCGTGCACTGTGCCCTCTGACCTGGGCATTCTGAGAGCACAACTGGGAAAAAAACATTATTCGTCACAGTTGGAGATGCACTTACATTGACATCATTCCACTTGTCTGTCAAGGATGACATCATACACATTTGTACTACATAGACAGATAAAAGCAACACGTGTAACACTTGGAGAGGGATACTTTGATGCCTTCACAGTTCAGGCTTGAGCGGCGTGCAAGGTAAAGGTCAAGTCAAATCAAGTGGAGTGAGTACTACTTACTGCTCAGGAAGAACATCAGCGTAAATGCGATGGGGACTGTGGCTCCCTCTAGTCTCCACACTGGGCAGAGTTGCAAAGGCCGATGAGTCATTACCCAAAACCATCTACACTCAACAATGGCCTCCACTGATGCTCCAGCACAGTTGATGTTCTGATAAGGGACTAATTGCTAAGGGCAGCCAGCTCCATTAAACACACACTCAGGGGGTGTGGCCTCAGACGATGAGAAATGAGGTAAAACTAGTGATGAGGTGAAACTAGTGATGGTGAGTCAGACAGCTAATTAGGCAGCAAATTGAATAGGTTGCTTCAGAGAATGATTCCCTGCCAAAAGGAATCGAATGGATTAGAGTCAACATCTGGCCCAGTCTTTGAGGGAATCATCAATCCCAGCGTTTCCCAATCCGGTCCTCAGGGACCCACAGTTGGTCGATGTTTTTGCTCCCTCTCAGCTCCCTGCCAGACAGCCCACATTTGTGCTCCCTCCCAATTCCCTGCTGGGCACTAGACTGGGAAACACTGCTCTATCCTGACCAGCAGATGAATGATCATGACACTTTGAATGAAAATGTATGAGCATCGATTAATTGCTAATGCCGGATGAAAGATGTTGTTCATAAATTGAGCATCTCAAAATATTGTAGAGAATGACCTAGAAATAGTACTAGTAGTAATAGAAACATTTCTTTCCTCCCTCTGCCTTTTCCCAAATAAATTGAATCATTCTGTGCACCTCTGAGTGTCTGTCTGAGTGTTAGTGTCTCTCTGTCCCTCTGCACCCACATGAAGAGGAATTAGACAGGTTCTAGTGATTTTTATTGCAAGAAGGGTAGGAATACATATCAGGCGATCTGCAGGAAACCTGGAGTGACTGACTGCAGATCAGATGATGAAGTTTTCCATATGAGATCATGAACTTCACAAGGATTGATCACAATTAAGTCAATTGTTGATCCTTTTGGTACAAAACAGGAAAAACTACTTCCATCAGTTGGACATGTTATAAAAACATTGCAATGACAA